AAATGATTAGATCATGGGAGCTGTAACCTCATTGGTCCATCCTGGTTTGAATGGACTGGTTGGGTGGTAACTGAGGCAGGTGGGGCATGGCTGGAGGAGGGAGATCTTTGGGGGCATGCTCTTGAAGGGTGCATCTTCTTTGTGCTTCATTGTGGTTCGTTCTCTCTCTCTTTTTCTCTCTCCCCCATCAGCAGAGCAGCTTTCCTCCACCACAATTTCCCCATGATGTGCTTCTTTACCTTGGGCCCAGAGTGATGGACTGGCCATATATGGATTGAGGCCTCTGAAACTGTGAGCCAAAAATAAACTTTCCCTCCTTTAAGTTGTTCTTGTCAGGTATTTTGGTCATAGTGTTGCAAAATGGACTAAATCACTTTGGTTGGAATATTCCATAAAAGATGTTCTCCCTAGGAGATTTTGACAGTAAGGATCCTCAAGGATTATGTGTTTCCTTGCTGAGAGTATTTTTGCATGCTATTAAATATCTCAAGGATGCATGAAAGTATGAATCTTCATTGAAGGCCTTTGCCTTTACCTTGAGTTTTGATCTGTTTTTGTCTGCCTTAATTAAAGGACCTAATTTTCTTTGTGGTCTCAATAAGTTAGTCAGAAAGCTTCTAAGCTCGGCATGGTGACAGATACCTGTAATCCCAGCAATTTAGGAGGCTAAGGCAGGAGGATTGCAAGTTCATAGGCCAGACTCAGCAACTTAGCAAGATCCTGTCAGAAAATAAAAATAAATAAAAAGGACTCACTAGGAATGTAGCACAGTGGTAGAGTGACCCTGGGTTTAGTCCCCAGTACCATATGCACTACACAAACAAACAAAAAAAAAGGAGAAGGAAAAGGAGGTAAAAGGAGGAGGGAAAGAAGATGAAGAGGAGGAAGAGCTTCTAACAAAGGCTGAGGCAGTGTGTATGGGTTTGGAGCACTACATAGTAGCACAGTTTCAAGCACAGTAACTGTTCAGTGTGATGTTGTCATGAGGGTTCTTCTATTTTCTCTACTTTCCATCTCCCAGTCTTTCCTCTTCCTCTTTGTTTAGAACAGTTACTTTATTGTGAACTAGACGAAAGGCAGTTTTTTTTTTTTAATAAAGACAGAATATTTTGCTTTTCCAAATGGTCCCCAGGAAGGAAGCCATGATCCCCCTAACTAACTTAACATGGTGGGAAGATGGGAAAATTGTATTCTGAGATATTGAGGAAAGCACAACATTTTAGAGTGGGGAATTGGGAATAAGAATTAAGAGTATGCATCTGTGGGAAAGAGATAGAACACTAGTGTATTAGTCATCTGTGTGTCACTGTGACCAAAATATCTGACAAGAAAAACTTAGAAGAGGAAAAGTTTACTTTGGCTCATGTTTCATAGGTTTAGTCCATGGTGGGCCAACTCTATTGTTCTGGGCTCAAGGTGAGGCAGAACATCATAGCAGAAGGGTGTGGTGGAAGAGATCTTAAATATTCTTTTGAGACAGGGTCTTAATAAGTTGCCAAGGCTGGCCTCGAACTCTCTATCCTCCTGCTTCAGTCTCCCAAGTAGCTGGGATTAGAGGCATGTACCACCCAGCTCTAAAGATTTTTACTGCTCTAATAAAATAATGTATGGGTCTTAACATCATAATTGGAAATTTGAGATTTTAGGCTCAGCACCCTTTCCAGAAGTGTTCAGAAGCTTCCTGTTGAATTGCTGTCTTGTTCACAACAGGGACTGGGATGACCAGGTGAGGGAGAGGGGTGAGGTTTAGAGAGAGATTGATAAAGAATCACCAGTGATGAGAACAGGACCAAAGTCAGAGCAGGGCAGGGCTGAATGTGTTTTTTTGATACCATGAAATGTAGGGGTGGAGTAAAGTTAATGTTATTACTAAGCATTTTCTCTGGCCATGGCGGCAATTTATATAGTGTGTAAATCTCATAAGATTGTAACCCTCTCCACCACTGTGACAAATGTAATATGCTTCATGTTGACCTCATGTAAGATGTTATCAGATTGATATTGTTCCTACTTGAGGCCTCATGCCTTGAAGCTGGAATTGTGAGGTGTCCTAGATGATTTTCCCTAGGCTAAAAATACTTTTTTTTGGTATCAGGGATTGAATTCAGCAGCACTCAACCACTGGGCTACATCCCCAGATGTATTTTGTATTTTATTTAGAGACAGGGTCTCTCTGAGTTGCTTAGCACCTTGCTTTTGCTGAGCTGGTTTTGAACTTGCAATCCTCCTGTCTCAGCTTCCTGAGCTGCTGGGATTACAGGTGTGTGCCACTGTGCCCAGCATTAAAAATGCTTTCTAATAGAAAACTTCACCTAATCTTTAATCTAGCTCCTCTTCTTCTAAACTTCACATGGATTGCTGATCTCCATTTTAATAAGATAATATTATACAAAACATCACATTTAAAACAGCACAGTGACTGGTGCATACCTGTATTTGTGCCAGTTGTAGGCAAATAAAACCGGCTGAAGATTTCTCTTCAGTGCTAGGGTCACTGTGAAACAACTCTGGCAGGGATTTCGGTGAGTAATCTGCTATTGAATGGAAGGATTGATGACCTCCAGTGTCTTGTAGTCTTATTTCAAATATCAGGTTCAAGCTCCTTATTGCAGGGTCCCATGAGGCTGCTGCAAGGGATGAATAAGTTCAGTTTTTTAAATTTCTATTTTTACATCATATACATACTTTAACAATTATGCTTTTTTCCTCCCATAAAAGAAACAAGAACATATTTCAATTGGCTTTTACATGAAAGGGAGAGATCAGCACTGGGGAAATAAGGATTCCTGGCCCCTAAGTCTAAGTAAGTGCAAAAGGAAACCTGGAAGATGTGAATTGACTCTGCGCAGTAGCCACACCTCCTTGAAGCAAAGGTAGCATGGGAATATGGCAAAAAGACACCTGGACAGAGAATCAGCAGAACACTTAAGTTAGGTAAAATGCAATGGTAAATGCAAAGCAAAGGTGAAATGGCATCCCAAGCATGACAATGAGAACAAAGTCTGTAGTCAGTGCCAAGGGTGGGACAGGGAATGTGGAAGGAGTTTTATAACACAAAATCACTGATTTTTTAAAACTCTTTTACAAATCACTATCTAGATGCAGCACTCCTTTCAGAAGCATTTAACTTCATTTTGAATCACTATGTCGATGTATACGATTTTGCAATGTCAAAATCACCACCCTGCCTTAAGAGTTGCAATTTATCTAATATTTCAAAAATGGTTGAAACAACTATCTTGATAGATATTATCAGAAAAACCAGTTAGGCCAGGCATGATGGGGTATGCCTATAATTCCATCTACTTGGGAGGCTGAGGCAGGATGATTGCAAGTTTGAGGCCAGCTTCAGCAACTTAGGGATACCCTATCTCAAAATAAAATTTTAAAAAAGGGCCGAAGAAGCCAGGTATGGTGGCGCATACCTGTAATCCCAGCGGCTCAGAGGCTGAGACAGGAAAATGGTGAGTTCAAAGCCAGCCTCAGCAATGGCAAGGCACTAAGCAACTCAGCAAGACCCTGTCTCTAAATAAAATACAAAATAGGGCTGGAGATGTGGCTTAGTGGCAGAGTGCCCCTGGGTTCAATCCCTGGTTACCACCCCCCTCAAATAAAAGGGCTGAGGATATAGCTCAGTAGTAAAGTACCCTTGGGTTCAGTCTCTAGTACCAAAAAAAAAAAAAAAAAAAAAAGAAAGAAAGAAAAAAAAGGAAAAAGAAAACCCATTATCAAGTTTATTAGCAATAAAAGACTTAACTTCTCTTTCTTCCCAGGAGCTCACCAATAGCAAGATCAGTGAAAATGTTGTTTGTTTTAAAGCTTTTTTAGGCAGTAATGGGGATGGAACTGAGGGTCTCACACATACTAAGCAAGTACTGTATAGTACCACTGAGCTACATCCCCAACCCTTTAAGCATTTTTTTCAGCCTTCAATCTAACTTTCAGGCACTTTTTGTGGGGTACTGGGGATTGAACCCAGGGGCACTTTACCATTGAATTACATCCCAAGCCCTTTTTATTTCTTATTTTAAGACTGGGTTTTGCCAAGTTGTTGAATCTGGCCATGAATTTAAGATCCTTCTGCCTTAGCCTCATCAGTTGCTGGGGTTATAGGTGTGCATAAAATGTTTGTGTCTCTCCATGCATACACCAAAAAAAAAAAAAAAGCCATGTGAGGAAGAAGATACCCAGCAAGCACCAAGAACACAATTATGTCAAGCCTTTCATCCTCCAGAACCATAAGAAATGAATATTTGTTGGTTAAGCCATTGAGTTGATGGTATTTTTATAACAACACAAAGTGATTAAAAAAATACACCTTCAAGAGCATATTCAGGTTCCTTTCAGTAGAGATTCTTATACATTTGCTAGAATTATTGGTTTAGTTTATTCTGACTCTGCTTAGTTAAACATTACAACATTCTTGTATTGTAGATTTTAATTTTGGAAATTGCTTTTTCTCATTTTGCTCATCATGATCTTATTCAAAATTACAATATTCCCTTCAAGTTACTTCCACCTATAAAGTTGTTTGCAGCTCAAGATCACACTTTGATTGATTGGGTGATCCAAGGTCGACGTATTTAGAGGAAAGAAAATATCTGTGTGTGTGGTTTTCTGGGGACCAAACCAAAGATATTGCACATGTTAAAGGTGTTCTATCACTGAGCTATATCACCAAGCCCAGAAAATGCCTTTTATTTGATCATCCTCACTGGCTAGTGATTTAGTCAAAGGGTTGTGTGGGAATTATCCAGAATAAAAGTGTCCTAACTTCCTCTTTACTGAGTAATGAAACATTGTAATGAAAATGCATGTTGTGGGGCTGGTTGAGGCTCAGCGATAGAGTGCTCGCCTCACACGTGTCAGACCCTGGGTTCTATCCTCAGCACCACATAAAAATAAACAAGTGAAATAAAGGTGTTGTGTCCAACTACAACTAAAACATAAAATATAAAAAAAAAGAAAATGCATGATGTAGGAACATAGTTTTTGTTGTATTTAATATAGATAGTTTCACTCAGTTGTATGTGATATTTATGCAAGGGCCATGTTGATCTTTTGTGTATCATTCCAATTTTTGTAAATGTGCTGCTGAAGCAAGCACAAGAACATAGTTTTGAAAGACCCATTCTAAAAAATGATTTTCTTGTGAGCCCTACTTCTTTATTAACTTTATATTTCACAGATGACAGTGTTCACTTGCACACTTTTGGGCAACATTTTTTTTTTGTACTGGAGTTTGAACCTAGGGTCATGTAACCACTGAGCCATATCCCCAGCCCTTTTAATTTCTTAAATTTTGAGACAGGGTCTCACTAAGTTGCTTGGGGCCACCCTCAATGGCTGAGGCTGGCTTTAAGCTCTGGATCCTCTTGCCTCAGCCTCTGGAGCCACTAGGATTAGAGGAGAGTGCCACCACACCTGGCAGGCAGCTTCTTTTTTCAAAGGACCATTGATTTTAAGTTACTTAGAGTCTCATCTTCATTTGCATGTAAAAAGCCAAAGAGGTGCTCTTTGTTTCTTTTTCTCCTGGGCTGGTATCTTTTGTCTGTCTGAGTAGTTTCTCACAATGACTTCCTAAAGATGTCAGTTTCATCCCCTTTTGTACTACTGACTTAACACACAGTAGTACAAAAAATGGTCACAGGGACCATTTCTGGGCAAATGGCTCAACACTTGGTAAACACTGAGAATTTAGAGAATACTGATGATCTGATATAATCAGGTTCTTAGGAAGAGGACTCAGTAAATATTTATAGAATACCTCTCTTACCCAGAGGACTCTGCTAAGCACTGCTAGAGATAACAATTTACGGAGAGATACTAGATGAAAATAAGACCCCTGTCCTTCAGGGAAGCATAACAAGTAGAAAATGCATAGGATATGGCAACAGGTGACCTAAACTCCTGTCTTAAATCTGCCACTAGTAATCCCTGCAATCCTTAGGAAGTAATGTCATACTTTTCATTTTCTTTCTTCCTTCTTTTGTCTTTTTTTTTGTGGCACTGGGGATTAAAACCAGAGCCTCATGCAAAAAGTCTACCACTGAGCTACAACCCAAGCTTCTTAATTTCTTTATATGTAAAAGAGAAATGTAAATAAAACCTACTTCAAAAGGTTAAAATGTACCTAATAAGAATAAAGCAAGATAATTGTGGGTAAGGACTTGCTAACAAACCAGAAAACTGTTTTAAAAATGTAAGGAAATGTTGTTCCGGATCTAGTGAGGGGCCCTACAAGGACCAAACTGCTTTACTCTTGGAGGCGGCTGACAAGTTTAGTGAGGACAGCTCTAACTCTCCGGGACTCAGGAAGGCCCACGGCAAGGTGCTTGTAGCAGAGTGTACAGGTGTCCCCGCCTATGTGAGCTTTACGTGGTCCCTTGTAGAAAGGGCTACCTGTCGCTGGGAAGCCAGCAGAAACAACGTGGATTCGCAACACTGCAAATTGGGGACAGGAAACCTTGGCACCAGAAGTCAGTAGGCTACTTCGCTTCAAGGTGACTGACGGTTTGCGGGGCTATCGTAGACTTGCAGTAGACCTGGAGACTCGGTGGCATTAATCCCAGTGCAAAATTGGAGCTGGAAGCAGGATCCTTCGGGATGGCAAGGACTCGCGGGACAGTTCCTGAGTTGGCTAGGAAGACACTTCACAGGTAGAGGTGGGAAGATGACTGGGCGTGGCTGTCAACGCAGCTACCGGAAGCGCATATTTCCTTTTCCGGTTGGGGTTCGGACCACAGACCCGAGACCCAAGAAATAGGAAGTTGGGGTGCGGTGTTGGGGAGGTGGAGAGACCGGGTGGGTGTCTGCTTTTTCAAGGCCCCTGCTCCCCAGAGGCCTTGGAGCTTCTCTCGCCAGGCGTTTTCTTTACCTGGCCTCCCTGAGTGGCGCGCGAGTGGAGTTCCGCTCTATAGAGCGGCGGGGAGGCGTGGAGACTTTATAGTGGAACTGAGGAAAAGGAAAGTGGTCGCCACCCAAGCCCAGAGTTGACTGGAGGTAACGGAGAAACTAATCTACCCTTTGGATTCGGTTGGCGAGCCCCCGAGAGACAGCGGTCGCTCCTGCCTTTTGCAGCCTTTGGGGTTGCTGCATGGCGGCGAGTGGGGGCGGGGATGGGACTCGGCGTCATTCAGTACGCGGTGGCTTCGTTGCCAGGCGGCAGATCCGCGGGAGAGCGGGCGGGACTTGTCATCTGCACGGCCACTTTTAATCTCCAGAAGCAACCTCTTTATACCCAATGTACAAATATAACCCAGAGATGCTGGTGAAACACACTCAGACTACTCACATGCAGAGTGCCTACCGGCATCCCTGTGGCCTATCCAGAAGGTGCAGCAAATTGGTGGTGGGGACTGGGACAGTTGTGTCCACCACTGTACCTAGCGAAATTTCCCGATTTCCACTAGCTTATGAACATAACGCTAGAGAAGGGGCCATTTCAGCCCTAAAGACACTGGATTCTGTTGACACAAAAATCTAGGAAGTGTCCCTGTACCTCCTGAGCCTGCCTGGACAGCAAGGAACCAACCATTTCTTTGAATACCCATGACATTCTGAAAAGAATTTTTTCACTGTCACTGCTGATCAGATTGTCAATTCTATCCTCAGACTTGAGGATAGGGAAAGTCATTTCCTGAGGAACTGCAAAGTCAGGAGAAAGGTTACTCTTACTCAGATCCTCCCTGTCTATAAGAACCTTAATGCGTTCATCCTTCCTTCCCTCCCTTCCTTCCAGGTCTCCCTTCTTTCCCCCTCTTTCTCTCCCTTCCATCCTCCCTCCCTCTCTCTCTTCCTACCCCCCTTTCTGTCTCTTTCTGTCTTCTACCTGGCATTTGGATATATTGTAAACAAAGGCCAGATGTAAGTTTTTTTTTTCCAGTTAAAGTAAGCACAAGAAATAAAAGACGGTACAAATCTCCACATACCCCTTGTAAATCTTCCAAAGAAGTGCAGCTGTCCCCAAATTTAATCTGGTTGCTTAGTGGGAGAACATTTGCTGAGCAGAATAAGGTTACTTTTTTCCTAATCATACCTCCAATCTCTGTTTTTCTTTCAGTATTAATACAGTGGAATGAGAATAGCAAATGGTCCATGAAGTAAAGGCTTCAGTCTTCACAAAAAGATGAAGCAGCATAGAAGTTATTTTTGTACTGACTAGAGCCAAAAGACTGGGATGATCTGTTAAAATTTGGAAAAGCTCAAATATGCTCTAATTGAGAAGGTGTAACAGGAAGCACACAGATTAAGTATTGGATAATTTCAAAGCTGCTTTTGGCCCAAGGGTGCCTGTTTTCTTACCCACCAACCTTTCTCAAATGGAAAGAAAAAATTAAAAAGAACAACCAAAAAGCAGGAATGGGGGAGGAAGACATTGACATTTTTCTTCTATGAACTGTGCTTAGTTTCAAAGTTGAGTAACAAAGAAAAAAAACATACCTCTTAAAGTAACCTGTGATCATGAATGTTCTAATACTTGGCAGTTGATTTTAAAGGAGAAGGAGGGTAGGGACTTTTCATTTTTCTCTGATAATAGCGAATATGTGTCATGTGGCTTTCTTTTTGACATGTACTTTTTTTCTGCTCTCCCTCAAGTGCTCTTAGGAAGAAGATCTGTACATTGGTTTTGTATCAAGCCTGATGGGGCCTCAGTTGTCAGAGATGGCACCAGGGAACTGTTAGTGCCACACACAGGAATAAAACTGTTTCTAGAGCAAATGATGATGAGTGAGCTGAATATAGATGCGTGCTTGAACCCCCACATGGGGGCTATGTTCTGGGAGACTGAAGAAGCTGTGCAAGAAGGCTCCAGTCAGAGGGAGAAATACAGCCCACAAATAGAAAGCCTTCATCCTGAGAGTGCCCGCCAGCACTTCAGGAGCTTTTGTTATCTTGAAGCACCTGGGCCACTAGAAGCTGTTAACCAACTTCAGAAATTATGCAATCAGTGGCTGAGGCCAGAGACCCATTCAAAAGAGCAGATCCTGGAACTGCTGGTGCTAGAACAGTTCCTGACCATTCTTCCCAGGGACATCCAGAACTGGGTGCAGAAGCATCATCCACAGAATGTTAGACAGGCTGTGGTCCTGGTAGAACGCTTTCAGAGAGAACCTGGTGGAACAAAGAATGAGGTGAGAAGAAAGATTCCTTATATGTGCATTAAAATAGGATAAAGGTGGATATGTGTGGGTGGGCGTTATCAGGGAATGAGATGGATGAAGTCACACTTCTCTTGCGTGGAACTGAAGTCACAGTCATGCAGCAATAGTCAGTCAATAGGTTTCAGAGTTCCTGGCAGAGTCTTTTCTGGCCTTAGAGGGGAAAATGCACTTTTCCTTCTTTAGGGCCAGGATGAATTGGGGGATGGTGAGCCTAGTTTGGCATGGCCAAGGAGATAAGACTCAAGTGCTTAGAAATCAAAATAAAAGACAAGAAATAGTTGGGAAAGGGGAAACATTCCAAAAAGTGGATAGCACTTATAGAAATCAAAGGAGAGAAAGGGTAGCAAACAAAAATCAAAATCAAGTAACTCTGGGGAGATATCAAATTGAGGGAAGAAATGGAAAGCAAAAAAGGAAACAAAAATGGAAAGAAGAAAATGCCAATAGAGAAGTGGAGGGAATTGGGATGATGAGGGGGCAGTGTCTTCTACTGGGAACACATACCTCTGTGCTGGGAAAAAGAATCCTCTCTTAGTGGGACCACGTGTGTTTGACCTGCTTGAGAGTGGAGAACCAAGATATGTCTTTGGGAGATGACAGCACACTTCCTATACATAGCAATGTACCTTGAGGGATATAGGTAGGGCAGAGTGTATTTTTGGTATCTTACTGCAACCAAATCATGTGGAGGGAGGTTGGAGCCAATCTCTTCCCTCGTTTTCCCTATCATCTGATCTCCTTTCACCATGAAATCCTTCCTTGTCTATAGGAAGATTGAAAGATCTGGCTGACAAGATAAATACTTGTTAATTCAACTCTTTATCTTTGGGAAAAAAATTTGAAGATTGAAATCCACTAAGGCAGGGATCCAAGTCAAAAAAGCAAGCCAATGAAGGCAGTGTGAGAACAGCCACCCCACCTAACCCCGCTAATGGCTTGAACTGTGTCTGGGTACACAGGGTAGGGACTCTTGGCATGAAGGAGGGGAAACTGGAAGTAGGTACAGCTTTTTTCATTTTATCTTAATTTTCTTAGATTCTGTGTATACTTCTTCATAAGAGCATAGCAACACATTTTCTCTTCATCCTCTGTATTACTTCCTTTAATATCACACACTCCCCAAATCTGTGCTCTCTCTATTCTAGTGCCTCCCTCCTCCTGTACCACCAAACTCAAAGTGAGTTCTGTGCTAATAAGGATGGGGATTATTTCTAGGTCACAGCCCATGAGCTGGGAAAGGAGACAGTGCTCTTGGGAGGAACAGCAGTGGCCCCAGGCTTCAGGTGGAAGCCAGCAGAGCCCCAAGCAATGGGTGTGTTCCAGAAAGAATTTTGCAATATATACCAGGTACTTCAAGAACTGCTGGGCTGGCATACTCACAAAGAAACCCAGCCTGTATATAAAAGAGGTGAGGTGCTTCAAAATAATTATTTTCTTCTGGGAGCTGTGATAGTAATTGGTTTAGCTAGAATTTGTGGGAATTTTCCAGGTGCCCAGCTGTGCCTTGCCAGTTATGATGTTTCCCAGGTGGGAGTGCAAAAGGTGGGTGAAGGTGGGAATTGGCCTGAGGTGCAGAAATTTCCAAACCACAGAGCTCTCATATTCACACCACAGTCTATACTCTTTAGAAATCTGAGAAGAAAGAAGATGATGAAACAGGGACAAGTGGGACCATTATACCCTTATAAGTTGCAGGAGAAATTGGGATCTAAAATGGGCTGTCAAGGGTTAGAATGTGAAGAAAATGACACACCAAGAAAGAAATAAAAATCTCCAACGTTTCCTACTGTACACCAGGGGACCTGAGTACTTTGTATTCAAATGCCTCTAATTCTTGCTCAGTTAGGTGAACAATTTGTTTTATAAGATTTAATCTAGGGCTGGGGTTGTGGCTTAGCAGTAGAGTACTTGCCTAGCATGTGTGAGGTGCTGGGTTCCATCCTCAGCACCACATAAAAATAAATAAAAAATAAAGGTATTGTGTCCAACTACAACTAAAAAATATTTTAAAAGATTTAATCTACTTACTAGATTACCTTTTATTAATTTATCCCATGAAATCTGGAGAAATAGTGATCTGAGGAACTGGTTCTATGAAGGGTGGATATCTGATTGCTATTTCCCATGAGATGACAACTCTGGACATCACAATGCTTCTCACAGTGATCCATCTTTCTTGAAAGTGTCCCAACATTCTGTATTTTAGAATCAGCTCATGATGTTTGTAAACAGGAAAGAGAGAAATTTTCTCTGGCTCTTTTCCACCCACAGCTGTGCATACTCCACAGATTTTAGCCCTTTCTGAGCAGAAAAGCACCAAAGACTGGAAGATGGCATCAGAGCTCATCTGGCCTGAGTCCCAGGTGAGCTGTACTTTCCAGCTTTCTCAGGCAGACTCATCTCACTTTTTCCTGCTGCCTACAACCCATTAACCTAAGGTATTCCCAGCAGGTATTCTGCAGTGTGTTAGCCCCAAATGTTCTCCAGGTAACTGGGCTTGGCACAATGGGAATGGGAATTGGGTATCTCCCAGGCTGTTTACGGATCTGCTTGGCTCCTTCCTTTCTGCCATCTCACTCCCACCACCCCCTAAATCTTGTACTGCTAACTTCTTCAGCACCTGCCCTACCATGTAATTCAGAGGTGGGTAGTAGGACAGCTTCTCCAGTGGCAAGTATTCAACCAAAACCTGTTCTCTTCTTTATAGAGTTTGTTGACATTTGAAGATGTGGCTGTGTATTTTTCCGAGGAAGAATGGCAATTATTGGACCCTTCTCAGAAGACCCTCTACAATGATGTCATGCAGGATAACTATGAGACTGTCATCTCTCTAGGTAAAGATTTTTTTCCCTTTGTACACAAGTTGAAAAATATGTCCTCAGTTTTTGGAAACTGCATCCCTGTGAGAGAGCCCCTGTGTTCCAGCACCTTATTGTTTGAATTTGATGGTGTGGGAGAAAAGCACTTCCGTATTCTTTTTTTGTTCTTTAGTTGTAGATGGACACAGTAAGTTTACTTTATTTTTGTGTGGTGCTGAGGATAGAACCCAGTGCCTCATGTGTGCCATTGAGCACTCTACCACTGAACCACAACCCCCAGCCCAAGGCACTTCCATATTCTAAGTAGAATTATCGATCTGTTAATGATGCCCTTACCCCATAAACCATATCATTCCCTTCTTAGTAATGGGCATCACTATTTATTCAACTGCTCAGGCCAGAAACCTCTCGGTCACACCTTTTTAAAAGTTTTTTTTATAGTTATAGATGAATAGAATGCCTTTATTTTATTTGTTTATTTTTTATGTGGTGCTGACAATCGAACCCAGTGCCTCATGCATGCTAGGCAAGCACTCTGCCACTGAGCCACAACCCCAGTCCCTCTTAGTCATTCTTTATTCTAGTCTTTCTGTTATATTCTACAGCCAATCAAGCAGCAAGTCCTCTTTGCTCTGTCTTCAAATGTATCCTGAATCCAACCATGTCTCACACTCTTCCACTCTTACCACCCTAGTTGGAGCCACTGTCACCTCTAACCAAGTCTACCTTCAATAACACTAGATTCCTATTCCCCGCATCATTTGCCTCTGTCTCCCTTAGGTTAAGTTCCTAGTTTCCTCATTGCATTTCTACCCACATCCATAGTAGAATGTAAAGATGATATTGGATCCAAAATTCTGCCCACTTAAACATTTGAAATAAAAAAGTTATAAAAAAAAGAGTTATTCACTCTTCCTGAAAATAGTCAGGAATTAAGGTGGCAGTTCATGACCTCAAGGTTTTATTCTCAGAATATTATTGTATTTTAAAGTGATCTATTTAAAGCAAGAAGAACCATAGATCCAAATTCTCCAAGAGTACAAGGAAAGTCTTGGAGCATTTCCTACAGGTAAGTATATTCATCAGAAGAAGAGAAATATTCTTTGGTAGGAACTTTATAGGGGTTTAATATCTTAAGATTCTGCTCTTATATTTTTCATTGAAATTTTTATTGTAGTCATTTTAGATTCACATGCAGGTTTAAAATATAATATAAAAGAGAATCAGTGTACACATTACTCAGTGTCTGCAATGATAACTTTTGCAAAAGTATATCACAATCAGACTATTGCTACTGATGTGACCTACTGATCTTAAGCAGATTTCCCAAATTTTACTCGAATTGTTGTATGTGTCTATTATTTCTGTACAGTTTTATCACGTGTAGATTTATGTATTCACCACTATAGTCTTGACCATACTGGATAGTTCCCTTACCATAAACATCCCTCCTATTGCCCTTGCATAATCACATATACTTCCATCCCATTCCCCACTAATCCATTCCAACTGTTAATCTGCGAACATTCCTAACATTTTGGCCATTTGAAAAATCTTATATGAATGGAATCATCATGAAGTATGTGGTTTTGGGGGATTAGATTTTTTCATTTACAATAATTCCCTAGAAATTTGTCTAAGTTATTAACATGTCTCAATGGCTCATTTCTCTTTAACCACTGAGTAGCATTCCACACAACTATCTTATATAGGTTTTTCTGCAGAGTGTTCATTTATCTAGGACACATGCTTCAAGGGTAGAATCACTGTTTCATATGGTAATTGCATGTTTAAATTTATAAGAAACTGCCAAACTGTTTTCCTCAGTGTCTGTACCATTTTACATTTCTACCAACAATATATGAGTAATCCAGTTTCTCTCTACATCCTTGCCAGTGTTTAGTCTCAATATTTTTTTAAAATTTTAGTCATTCTGATATATGTAGTGGTATCTCACAGTGGTTTTGATTTGTGTTTCCCTAATGGCTGATGATGTTTGTTTGATATCTTCTCATGTGCTTATTTGTCATCTGTTTATGTACTCTTCAGTGCAATGTCTTTTGGCCATATTTTAGATGGGTTGTTTATTAACTGTTGACTTTGGGGAGTTCTTTATGTAGTGTAGATTCTAAAGTTTGTCAGATCAATGATTTGCAATTATTTTATCTCAATCTATATATTGTCTTTATCCTCTCCCATGGGTTTCCACTCAGTAAAATTTTTAATTTTGATGAGGACCAATTTTTCCTATTATAGATTGTTTTTGGTATCAAGTCTAGAATTCTGACTAGCTTATCCCTAGATCCCCATGATTTCCTCCTAAAACTTTAATAATGTTATATTTTACATTTAACTCCATGATCTATTTTTGAGTTAGTTCTTCTTGGTTTTTTTTTTGGTACTGGGGATTGAACCCAGAGGTGCTTAACCACTGAGCCACATCACCAGCCCTTTTATATTTTATTTAGAGACAGGGTCTCTCTGAGTTACTTAGGGCCTCATTAAGTTGCTAAGGCTGGCTGTGAACTCTCGATCCTCCTGCCTCAGCCTCCCTAGACACTGGGATTACAGATGTGTGCACCACCACATCTGGCCTTGAGTTAGTTTTGTATGAAGTGTGAGCTTTAGGTTGAGGCTCATTTTTATTTTTCTTCTTGCCAATGGAGGTCTAATTACTTCAGCATCATTTGTCGAAAATGCTGTCCTTCCTCCATTGAATTGCCTGGCATGTTTATGTTCATTTTGTTCCACTGAGCTCTGTATCTGTCCTTCTGCAAATATTGCACTCTCTTGATTACTGTAGCTGTATTGTAAGCCTTAATATCTATCCGGCAAAGTGATTTGTCCTACTTACTTCTTCATCAAGATTCTCTTACCTATTGTAGGACCTTTGCCTTTACATGCAAATTACAGAGTAAGTTGAACTGTGTCTGAAGTAAATTGTGTTTTGCCAGAAATTACATTAAATGTAATATTAGTTTGAAAGGGATTGTCATGTTTATTGTGTTGATTCTCCCAATCCATGAACACAGTATATCTCTATTTATTTAAGTCTTTGATTTCTTTCCTCACTTTTTTATAATTTTCAGTGTATAGATATTCTACATGTTAAGTGCATGCATAAGTTTTTCATTTTCATGGAACAATTCCTTTTATTTTCTTGCTTATTGCATTAGCTTTAACTTCTGGTACTATGTTGAATTAGAATGGCAAGAGAAACATCTTTGACTTGTTTCCAATTTAGCATGAAAACATTCAGTCTTTCACCATTACCTAAGATATTAGCACTGTTTTTTTGTTGTTGATATTCTTTATCAAGTTGATATAATTCCTAATTTTACCACTGTTTTCATCATGAATGGATGTGGCATTTTGTCAGATGCTTTTTCTGTGTCAGTTGATAGGTACATATGATCTTTCTTCTTTAGTTTGTTGAAATGGTGGATTATGTGGATTGATTTTCATATGTTGAACCAGATTTGCATACCTGCAATAAATCCGGCTTTGTCATGGTATATAAATCTCATAACTTAACTGCAATCTCATTGACTTACTGCATTCAGTTAGTCAATATTTGCTGACAATTTTTGTGTTTAAGTTCATGGGAAATGCGACTCTATAGTTTCCTTTTTTACTACTGTCTTTGTATGTTTATAGTATCAATGTGATACTCGTCTTATAAAATGAGTTGGGTAGTATTTCCTCCTCTTTTTTGGAAGAGATCACATAAAATAGTTAATTCTTTGAGTGTTTGGTAGAATCCTCCAGTGACACCATTTGTACTTGGAGATTTTTTGAGGGGAGGACTTTTAAATTGTGAGCTCCATTTTTCTTTAATGGTCAGAGTACCATTCGGGATCTATTTCATATTGTTTGAATCCTGGTATTTGTAGTTTTTTAGGAAGTAGTCCATTATAACTAACTTAAAATTCATGAATGTAAAATTCATAGAATTCCCTTACCTTCTTATTTACAGAGTATGTAGTAATACACTATTTCATTCAAGATATTGGTGATTTGTGTCTTCTCTTTCTTTTTGTCAGTCTTGATAGAGGTTTACCAGCTTTTTTTTTTTTTTTTTTTAAGAATGGGCTTGCTTTTTGTTTTATTTTGGTTTCTGTCCTTTATTATTTTCCCTTTCATCCTGCTTTGAGTTTATCTTACTTTTAGTTCTTTGAGGTAGGAACTTAGATTATTGATTTGAGATACTTTTTTTTGTACCCAGGAGTACTTTACCACTGAGTTACAATCCCAACCTTTTTTATTCTGAGACAGGGTCTTACTAAGTTGCCCAGACTGGCCTCAAATTTGCAGTCTTCCTGCCTCATCCTTTCGAGTAACTGGGATCACAGGCATGTACCACTGTGCTTGGCCACCTTTCCTTTTTTCTATTATGAGCACTTACGGATACAACTTTCTTCTAATCATTTCTTTAACTAAAATTAATATATTTTGATATATTTTAATTTCATTTTTATTTAACTTTCAGTATTCAAAAATTTCCTTTGAGACTTTCTCTTTGGACCATGGATTGTTTAGAAGTGTATTTCATTTCCATATGTTTTAAATTTTCCTATTGCTTTTCTAGTTTGATGACATTTTTGTCATGTTTCCCTTTCTTATAGGTTGTGATTTTTTTTGTTCTTGGCCTGATGTGTGATTATTTATTGTATACAGATAATTTTGTGTGTTAGGATAGAAGAGTCTGGTTCCTATTTAAATATTTTATTTTAGCAGGCAGTCACTGGGTTTTACTTTAGCACACAGGTTCTTTCTTACTTTTATGAGGTATTTCCACCATGCGACCAGTGCACTGTTTTCATTAATGAGGTTCTTGGCATAAAAGTTAGCTAGCGAGATTGAAATAAAACACACAGACTCAGTTACCTTTTTCTATGACCAGGTCCGAGACGGCTCCCCTCTCTGGTTCCCACCTCGAACCACCCGGTAGGGCAGCAAGGATTACTCAGGGCTAGCAGGAGAGAGAGAGATGGAGCACGCCAGGGAGTAGCCTT